TTGGGGAATGTGTGTGTGTGTGGGGGGCACCTGGCCTAAAAACTGAGTTTAATTAGGGCTTTCCAGATAGATCACAATAAATATTTGCATGTTATTGAATATTTACCGAGGCGGAGATTTAACCCCTGCCCCCCAGCAGCGGGCACCGGCCCCGTTTGGGTTTCCCCGTCTATGCCTTTGGGGAATGTGTGTGTGTGTGGGGGGCACCTGGCCTAAAAACTGAGTTTAATTAGGGCTTTCCAGATAGATCACAATAAATATTTGCATGTTATTGAATATTTACCGAGGCGGAGATTTAACCCCTGCCCCCCAGCAGCGGGCACCGGCCCCGTTTGGGTTTCCCCGTCTATGCCTTCGGACAGAAAAACAGTGATACTAAACCCGGCTTATCCTGCCAGGGCTCTGTGCCGGCTGCTTATACAATATCGGGATGTTTTAAACAAACTCCTGGGCTCTTTCCTCCCAAAAGAAGGCACCACAAACCCCCAGCAGTGCCCCACAGATGCTCCCCTGCCTCCAGCCCTTCAACACTACCCCCAGGACTTCAATTTTCAGCTTCAAAAATACCAAAGCTGTTGGTTTCCCCCCCCCACCTTGGAGACACTTTCTTGTCCCTTCTCCCTGTTTTTGCCTCTCATTTATAATTTCAGTCTCAGTTCATCACTGCTCACAATATTCCAAACAGCTAAAATGTTACAAATTAAACTCAAACTCGTGGCTGTTTAATGCTCCAGCCCTTGTGAGACATCGCTCCCAGCAGCGGACAGGCGCCTAAAACACAGCACCAGGACAGATTACGCTTTGATAATAAGATTTAAACATAGTTAGAGATGCAAACCTGCCTGGCAGCCTCCTGGTTTCTGGAGAGAAAGGCAAAGGAAAACCCACAGTATTGGGGCTCTCCTGCCATCCCTCCCCCAGCAATAAACTGGCCCCCCAAAGTGACAGTTCTGCTGCCCAAACTTAAGAGAGCTGCTCGATGTCCAGGTGTCTGCAGAGCAGCTGGGCTTGGCCAGCCGGGATTTCAGCAATTCCAGGCACAAGAACAAGCTGAGGACATCCAGTTCCCAGGGCTGAACTGGTGAAAAATAGCTATTGATTGTTTCCATCCCCCTCTCTATCCCGGAGCTCACAATATTGTGATGCTGCTCCTCCTCCAGCAACGGCAGCGCATACCAAAGCAACCCCAAAGAAACCAGCCAAGAGGAGGAAAAATGAAACGGGACGGGAGCTCTTCAGGAGCTTTGGAGGCCGCTGGCAGCTGCACCTCGTGGCTGAGGGAGCTCGCTCGGCCCCGGCTGACCCCACAGCGCCGGCTGTCCCAGGGCAGCCCATCCCCTGCCTGTGCCCCGTCCAGCGCTGCTCCTCCAGCCCTCGCCACCTGTTTTCCCTCCTTACTCCTTTTTCCCTGCGCTTTAAACACTTTTGATTCCTCCTTGCTCTCAGCCAAGCTTTTCCAAACAACTCGCTCGTCTTAATCGGGAAAACAATAATAATAATAATAATTAAAAAGGCAAGGCAGACCTCAGGGCTTCGCAGGGGTCTTTGGGCGGTGCAGCTCCCCCACCAGTGCTCTCCCTGTGCCACCTTGGCAGAGGACTCATAACAAGAGGCAGCAGGAGAAGCGTGGTGCAGCCTTTAGCACGTGGCAGGAGCTGGACAACGCTGCCCTGCAAGCTGGGCAGGGAGGAGTGAGGTTTTGGGATGCTGCGGCGCTTCCCGAAGCCTTGCCCCAGCCAGGCTGCAGGGGATCCAGTGGGATTTGTCCTGTTGTCCTCAGTGGGGTCCTGAGAGCAAAAATTTCCTCTTCCAGCCAGCGTAATAACTCCTTTGGTCTGCGGTCCAGGATGCTCCTCCTCCTCCTCTTCCTCCTCCAGTTTGATGTTTCCCCTCTAGAGGGAATTTGGGCTGGGGCAGGTCCCTCCCTGGGTGCAGGGGCACCCATCCTTTGCTCTTCTCTCCTTGCAGCCCCTTTCTGTTGGCACAGGAGCCCAGAGCGCCGCCAGGCAGCAGCCAGAGATGACCAAGGAAGAAGATTTACCAGACTGGAGCTCATCCAAGGAGTTCTATGAAAAATATGAGCCGAAGGAGGTTTTGGGCAGGTAAAGCTTGGTTTTGGCAAACTCTGATTTCACCTACTCCAGTACTGGGTAGCAACAGCATCCCCTGGGAGCCTGGTATGAACAGGGCCCATAGCAGCATGGGGTTAAAAAAAACAACATGAAAAAGCATTTTCCACCAGCTCAAAATCTGTCCCACTAAGCCAGGGTCGCAGAGCGAGACCCACACGGGCATGAAAACACCGACCACGGCTGCAAAATTGGGCTGGGCAGGGAGGGACGGACACCCCCATGTTGTCTGTGCTGTCCCTGGCAGGGGGGTGAGCAGCGTGGTCCGTCGGTGCATTCACAAAACCACGCGGCAGGAGTACGCCGTGAAGATCATCGACATCACGGCGGGCAACATTTCCCCCAAGGAGGTGCAGGAGCTGCGAGAAGCCACCGCCAAAGAGATCGACATCCTCCGGAAGGTCTCGGGCCACCCCAACGTCAGTAAGTGGGGCTCTGAGCAGCAGGGCAAGGGGGTTTTCTGGCTCATTTCTTCTTCAGGGGGCCCCCCCAGGAAGGGTTTTTGGGGTGAAATCCCTGGAGGGTCAGACCTCTGATGGTCCTAACGCGACGTAGGGCGCCTGCTCAGGGCATCGCCTGCTCTAACTCCATGCATGCCAATAGTGCTCAGGCTGCCTCCCAACCACAACACGAATGAAGATCAATCCTATTAATTCAATTAGCAACTGGATCAGCAAGTTTTAGCCCATTCACGGACAGGAACACGCGATACGCTGCGCTTACGGCCCCCGTGTTTTATTGCAGTCCAGCTGAAGGACAGCTACGAATCCCACACCTTCTTCTTCTTGGTGTTTGACCTGTAAGTACCAGCTCACCCCAGCCCCTTCCCACCCTGCATACAGCCCCAGCTTCTCATGGCCCAAAGTGGGCAAAGCCACCTCCTTCTTAATGTTGAAACGAGCCTCGGGAGCTGTGATCCAGCCTTTGCCAGCAGCATTTCCCCTCCGTCAGCGGCTCAGCGCTGCTCAGGTTTCCCCATAACCTTTGGCGAGAGCCGTCGCGCGTCCCTGCGGGTTATTTATGTGCCAGGGCATGTGTGACACTGGGGCGGTGCCGTGGACGGGGATGGCACCAGGAGAGCCCTGTCCCTGCCCCATCCAAAACCTGCCCACTCCAGGGACAGCCTTTCCTCCCCCCACCTGATGTTTTGCAGCAATGCATCGGCATTTTTACCCCGTGTTATTACCCAGTCAGCTTGTTCTGTGCAATGGATGCCCTGGGGCTGTTAGGGGGGCAGTGATTCCCCTCCCCAGCGGCTTGGCTGCTGCCACCTTGCCTCAGTTTCCCCTCCTGCACACAGGATGAAGAGAGGGGAGCTCTTTGACTACCTCACCGAGAAAGTCACCTTGAGCGAGAAGGAAACCAGGTAAGGCAGGTGCAAGAGGTTGAAAACCCACGGTTCCCCATCCCCGGTGCCGCTGGGCGCTGGGGCCAGGGCAGACGCTGTCTCCTGTCCGCAGGAAGATCATGAGGGCGCTGCTGGAGGTGATCCAGTACCTCCACTCCATCAACATCGTCCACCGGGACCTGAAGCCTGAGAACATCCTCCTGGATGATGACATGAACATCAAGCTGACGGACTTCGGCTTCTCCTGCCAGCTGCGCGAGAACGAGAAGCTCAAAGGTAGGAGGACGGCGAGGCGAGGGCGATACCGCACCCCTTGTCATGAAGAAGTTGTTGCCCATTAGGAAAACCATCCTATTCCTTCCACTTCTTTCTCCTCCAGTCGATCCTCGTTATCCCATCCATTTATTGCCCAATATTTAGGCTTTTTCCCTCAATTCCTACCCTGCGAAGAGCCACGTATCCAACGACGCACATCCCCATCGCCCTCTTCACTCACATTATAAGCCACCAAGAGGACATAACCAGGTGGAGAGATGCTGGTAGGGCAGTGGATGTGGTCTGTCTTGATTTCGGTAAAGCATTTGACACTGTCTCCCACAGCATCCTCGCAGGTAAACTGAGGAAGTGTGGTCTGGATGATCAGGTAGTGAGGTGGGTCGTGAACTGGATGAAGGAAAGAGGTCAGAGAGTTGTGGTCAACGGGACAGAGTCCAGTTGGAGGCCTGGATCTAGTGGAGTCCCCCAGGGGTCGGTACTGGGACCAGTACTATTCAATGTGTTCATCAACGACCTGGATGAGGGAACAGAGGGCACTGTCAGCAAGTTTGGGGATGATACCAAACTGGGAGGAGTGGTGACACTGCAGAGGCTGTGCTGCTACTGAGACCTGGACAGGCTGGAGAGCTGGGCGGGGGAAAATGTAATGAAATTCAACAAGGACAAGTGCAGGGTCTGCATCTGGGAAAGAACAACCCCAGGTACCAGTATAGGTTGGGGACTGAGCTGTTGGGGAGCACCAGAGGGGAAAGGGACCTGGGGTGTTGGTGGCAGCAATGCCCATGAGCCAGCAATGTGCCCTTGAACCAAGAAGGCCAACGCCATCCTGGGGTGGATAAGGAGGGGTGGTTGTAGGGCAGAGAGGTTCTCCTGCCCCTCTGCTCTGCCCTGGTGAGACCACATCTGGAATATTGTGTCCAGTTCTGGGACCTCAGCCCAAGAAGGACAGGAACTGCTTGAAAGAGTCCAGCAGCGCCACAAAGCTTCTACAG